TTGGTTGGAGCCACCTGGAGCAGTTTGGAGTTGAGGCTTTGCCCTGCGAAAAAACATGGGTGACTCTTCATACCAAAACTCTTACTCATATGGTTTCAGCTTAAGGTCTTTGTTTGGTTAGACTCAAGAAATGTCTTTATCTTTTAAACCCTTGGTTACCCTTTAACTTAAGAAATTACTCAAGCTCTGTATCATGAAGCTAGCCAGAAGTGTACTAAATTGAAATCAAGGGCTCACTTCTGTCTTCTTTAGACAGGTTATGTTGGTCCATTTTCTGACTATTCCCGTACTTTTGCACTTATGGGCCAGGTTATTATGGCTGACAGACATTTGCTGTTAAATACTAACGATTGCAAGTGTGGATTTTTAATACACAGGCAAATAACACCGTGTTGCTATTTGAGGCAGGCAGAGTTCTGTCCTGGGTTTGTTTTACACCTCTCTGGTGTCTTCACTATTTTCTTATATGTGAAATTTGCTTCCATGTACACAGCCTGGATTTTTTTACTCTAGGAGTTTGTTGTGCTTGCAGAGGGAGGGATAGGTGTACTTTTAGATCCAATTAAGAGCAAAAATAGTTTAGCTGGAGCAACTCAATGTTGCACACTTGTGTGGTGGGTAGCTCACTGCTGCACGCCTCCCCCCCCCCTCCCCGATCCCTGGGACTCGCTCTTCTTGTGTCCAGGTGTGCTGGCATCAATCCTTCCTAAAGCAAAAGCATGCACCTCCTTCCCCCCCCAGCCGACAAGGGCTAAGGGGCTGTGCAGCGTCTGAGCTGTAGGGACTGAAAACAGAGAGTTTTGTCAGAGTTCTGTCCCAGAGCTGAGAGCTGAGGAAGGTAAAGCCACTGTGCATGAGTTTAGCTCCAGTGCAGAGTAAGCTGCTCAGTGGAAGTCTGGTTTGCTCTGATGGAGGAAAACACCATTTTTGGGTTTTTTAGGGAATCTTTCCAGTTACGTTTCACTGAACTTTGAAATCTGAAGCTCCCATCTCTCTCTTGCTGTAACCTCCAACAAGACTCGACACTGAGTTACTGATTCACAGGTAGAAATGATCTTAAAAGGAAACCAACAGATGAGCTTCTGCACCTCACCCACAGCTGTGCGGAGCACGCGGAGATGCACGTGTGTATTCCTGGACAGGGAAGGCTTGTATGTGGGATTTTCCACCTTGGTATTTAGGGAATAAACGTACCTGGGGACAGGCATTTTCCCACATGGGAATAGCAGAGGGTGACAGTGGGAATAGGAGACTGTGGCAGTGGGTAGAGCAGCTGGTCAGCACCGAAGGAGCTTGGTGCTCATGCTGCTCTGAAAGGGAGGATTGTTTCCCACTGATTCATGACACAGCGTGGATAAAAGTGCCGTTAATTGCTGTACCCGTCATTGTCTGCTGGATCAGGCAGGGTGAGTGCCGGGGATGCATGACTGCACCCCGGGCTCGGCTGCCCGAAACCCAGCCGTTAGCACTGCAGTAACGAGCAGTCGTGGCACCAGCGTGGATGTAGAGATGCTCTGCTTAAAACAGTGGCCCTAAAAAGACAGCAAGTGGCATAGCTACCTTTCAAATGGATTTTGTATCCCAGTTTTATAGGTTAGAGGGACAAGCATATAAAAAGATAAGATTAAATGTAAGTATCGCAGTCTCCCTGCCATGAAGTTACGTGTCCTTCTGGTCAAGACAGATTATCTTGGGGGATTCAATGAGTTAATTCCTTCACCTCGGGAGACCTGGTCATCCAAATCCTGCTCAGGGCTGGTGAAAATGAAGAAGGTTGTTTAATGTAGCCTCTTCGGGAGGGCTGTTATCACCGCACCGTCGCCTTCAGCGGGGCAGACCCTGACCTCTGCAAAGGCAAAGGCTCAGCCTTGACGTGCCGAGAGTTGCTCAGACCGTGCTGGCAAAAGGAGGAGTTGTTTTTTGAGGCTTATGTTGCACCACCATCCCACGAAACCCCAAATTACAGAGGAGGGGGAAAAAAAAGGATATACTTCTAAATTTGTAGCTGAGATAATTACTAGAAACTTGAGTCATACTTAAAAGAGATGAAGTTTATGTCACGCTCCTGTAAAATATTCCAGCCTTCCCCAGCGATTGGATGTTTTCACTTGTATTTCAGTGATTAGGTCGTTAAAAAACATAGCTAATAATAGAAAGTCTTGGCAATCTTTGTTCTGAATAGGGTAAGTATGGAGACAGGGTGCCTAAAATGAATGCAGACGTCCTATTTGCCTATTTTTAAAGGTGCTGGAGAAAAAAAACCCATGTTGCACAATTGCCCCTCACAGCTGGATGTGGCTGTGACCGTACCTGCTGCTGTGTGCTTGCAGCCCACATATGCTGCTTTTTTTTTTCTCCCTACTGTTCCTCGTGCCTCCCTTATGAGTACCTGGTAGGTGAAGGGGTGGAAATGCACCCACCGAGACCACAGACTGGAGTAAAAGTTGTGAAAAATGTACCGTCTCTCCAGTTTCCATGGCTGCGTTCGTGTCAAATGTTGTCTTTTTGCTGTATTTTTAGCGAATTGCAGTTTTCTGTGGTGTTTCTGGAACGTCTGTTAAACTGTGAATGTTTTTGTCCTCTTACAGACGTGGCTGGATCCTGCCAAAGAAATAAAAAAACAGGTTCATGGTAAGTAGATCGAATTCATCGTGTGGGTGTACGTGGTTTCTCCCCTCTTCCCTAAATAATCCTGGCTTTGGTGTTGATCTGGGGGGCCCAAGGATGGGTGAGAATTCGAGTGAGGGTGTCTGGCAGGAATCAGCGCAAGTTCAAGCAGCCTGTGCATCCTTTCTCTTCTTCTTAAGTACCTAGCGATGCTCTAGATTTAGGAAAAAATGTTGTTTCCTTGGGAAAATATAACTTGGGGTGTGTTTGCCTGTACAAACCCACGCTGTGCTTACTACCGTGCAATGCTGAAATGGGAGATCTGCTTGTTGTTGGAGGGTGGGAAGATAGGTGTCAGTGGGAACCATTTAAATCTCAAAGGAGGTTGGGGGAGCCTGAGCAAAATTGCATGCTGTAGCAAGGTTTTATGGACTCCGAGGCTGTTTCAGGGTCCAAGTAGGGGTACTGGAATGATAAATGGCTTGAGCAGGTTCAGGGCAAATGCCAGATGCTCTCCAAAATTGTGTTTTAAGGTCTGCTAGCACTGAATTAGTTCAAGATGAGGGCAGCGTCAGATAAATTTTAGAAGCTTTTGTTTTCTCTCAGGAGCAAGTCTGACTGGTTCAAAAGTAAAGCACTGCTTTATGAAAGTAAAATACTGTTCTACATATGCTTTTGTTGGGGGGCACATTAGGTACAGATTAGGGGGGAAATGCCGCGGGGCTGTGGAGTAGGAACAGCTCCTGCTCTTATCAACTTCTCTTTGAATCGATAGCAGGATATGTGTAAAGGGCACGAGCTGCTCCTGCCGTGCAGGTAAAATTCAGCCTGTAAACGTAATGAGCAACCTGGTATGCAATCTGGTCCCCTGAGATGGGCTAAATGGCAAATTTTTTGAGTTTATTTGAATATCTGTTGAATGTACATATGAACATCACTATATATTGTACTTATATAGGGAGTCAGTCTCTGCATCCTCCTTGCAACACATTGGAAACGTCTGCTACCTAAAATGTCTTCTTAGAATAGCTTGTTTTGAACCGTGTATAATGAAAACAACATGCCTTGTGCTTAATCCCGGTTATGGCGTTGCGTAAGGAGTAAATCCACAAACGCTACGTCCCCCCTCCTCTCTGAGATTGTGATAAATCTCTGAGCAAGTTAAGCGCAGGGGTGTCTTCTCTTTCTGAAATAAATATTGTTTTGAACGAGTGTTAAAGGGCACAGAGGGGGTAGTTGTAACTATGAAAATTACTCTGAGTGCTTAATGCATTGGTCAGGACTGTTTTCTGTGGGTAAACGTGATCCTTTTCAAGAAAAAAAGAGAGTAACCCCTCAGCTGTGTCACCTAGACCACACCAATTCTAGGTGTGATTATGTGGATTCTCACTCCAGTTAATGCCTGTAATGCTGCTGTACAAGGTTTGGAACAAGCTGCATTAAAGCATTTAGGTCTGGACTTGTAAAGCTCTTCCTGTCTTGCTGCTTGCTGTTCCTTCCAGAGATTGATGCTCACATTGTGCTGAGCTTAAAACTGTGGTCTGACCACCCGACCACAGTGCATTAGGCTGATGAGTGAATTAGCACATCTGCTCCTTATGAGAAATTTGAAAATTGGGTCAAGTGATAAAACAGTACTAATTCATTAACTTAGAGCACGCATCTGACCTCTCTTCATGAATCTTTTTTTTTTTTTTTTAAAAAATATGTGAGTAATTTAGCCTCTTAGCAATGAATTTAATTTTTTCCACAAGCTGTGCTTTATTCACGTCTATTTGCCTGCCCTGCTTTGTTTTCTCCTGCTTGTATCTTAGCTCTCATAAATGAAATCGTATCTTATGCCGTCTGTGAAGCAGCAGCTAGCTGTGTGAGCGAGCAATATTAAAATCAGTATTTATGATCCCCTGGCCCTATTTTGAAGATCAGACTGGATATCCCTGGCTTTTTTTGTAACAGCTGATTATCGTGAAGCTGTTTTGGTGCGTTTATTTTTCTCAACCTCTTCTTTGTAATTGCAGGAGGCCCCTGGGATTTTACCTTCAATGTCAAGTTTTATCCGCCGGATCCTGCGCAGCTGACGGAGGACATAACCAGGTGAATTATGTGGGAATCTTGCTACCAGCCCGGGAGCTCGCTCAGCAAAGCGGTGAACATTGAATAGAAAATGTTAATATTTGTGTGTTAATGTTAATATCTCTCAGCAAGGAGATTGGATGTCTTAAGGGTTTGGAGGGGTTTTTTGTTTGCTTTTAGTGGATGTGTGGGATGCTTCCTCTCTTCACCAAAGTCCATGTGTGTAAAGCAGCGTCATTTATAATTCTGGCATGTGTGTTTTTGTATAGAAAAATACATTTTTATTTAAAAACAAGGTTTTCTGATCATAAGTGTCCTCTACTCCTTTTGCAGAGTAGGGTAAGTCCTCCTGTCCTCTAGGCTGTTTACTGTGGGAATATTACCCCATAATTAAAAATACAAGTAGAAATCAGAAACAAGCATCATGCTGCATTCATCAGTGGCATAAAAAAAGAGATTGTTTGATCCTCAAGTTTCTTCAGTTTCTCTGTTCTCTTTAAATAGTGTTTTGCTTTTTTCCCCCCCTAGGTATTACTTGTGTCTTCAGCTTAGACAAGACATCATTACGGGGCGGCTGCCCTGTTCCTTTGCGACTTTGGCTCTGCTGGGTTCATACACGGTCCAGTCCGAGTTAGGAGACTATGATCCTGATCTGCACAGCCCGGATTACATCAGTGAATTTAAATTGGCCCCAAACCAGACAAAAGAGCTTGAAGAGAAGGTTGTGGACCTTCATAAAACATACAGGTAAGGTGCGGCAGCTGGAGGACTTGTTCATGCACAGCAGCCTGAAATAATGGGGCTTTCTGGTATTTTCCCCACCTCTGTTGTGTGCTTTTTGGTTTCCTGCTGCACCAATTCTTTTACGTTGGCAGCAGAAGCTTTAGCAGTAAGGTGTGAAATTTCAGCTACTGAGAACATCAGCTATTTAAAAAAGATCTAATACTTTATACCAAAATCTTTCTAAAGGTTGGAATTCTTTTTTCCTGTGTGAAGAAGAAACTATGTTTTTAGAAAGCCGACACAAAGTCGTGCAATTGTTTATTAACACATGCTCCTTTTCAACAGTATAGCTGTAAAAGTGGGGTTTATTTCATGTGAAAATACAAAGTTTGCTTGTTTTAACCTTGCCCTTTGTCTTTCTTTTTCATATTTGCTTTGGGGATTTATGTAATTTTTGGATTGCAGTCTGGTTGGAGCAGATCTCATCTCTATGTGTATACGCTGTAGCCTACAGCATGTTTGGGGTTTTCTGCTGCCGCGTTTAATGAGTAACGCTTCCTAACGTGAAAGTATTCCAGATGATGCAGGAGGTACAAACCTGCAGTTAGGCTGTCCTCGTGTCTCCCAGCGCGGCCACGACCTGGGCAGATGTGTCTTGTTCAGGCAGGGTTGAAGGACTCCTGGGAGTCCCCCTGGTACCAGATTAAAGGGTCACAGCAACTGAACCTCTTCCTCATCTTATTTTGAGCTTATTTGCATAGATGCTTTCAAGTGCTTGGATTGCAGGAGCTGTGTGGAGCTGCGGGCTCGCCAGCTCAGAGGGCTGGCGTGGAGAGGAGCCAGCCAGCAGCTTCTGCACCCTCCCAGTGATACACTTGGGGTTTAGGGGAGGGGAAACACCCCCCCCTCCCCCCCATAAAACCACTTGGTGATACTGAGGCCCTCAACCAGCAGCCCCCTTGACCTGTGAAAAGCTGCTGGCTGATGCACGAATAACGAGAGCAGAGCAAAGACGAGACCTTCTCGCGGGCAGACGGGAACTAATAACCTGAGTGCAGTAGGGAAGGGTGGACATCTGCCCCTGGCTGTGACCAAAACTACAATTAACACCTCGCTCAACCCCGCAAATCAATACTTTAAATGGATTCCCCTCCATTTGCACTGAGAGGGGAGGAAATGAGGGAAAATAAGTACGGGGCCACTGACAAGCTTCATGACTTGAAGTCAAAGGCCGTTAGCTGGGCTAGAAGTGGCAGATCACGTTGCTGAATTATTCATGGCTTCATTAGAAGGATACTTCAAGGTATAGGACATAGTTATATTTAATCTCCTTGTGCATGCAGGAGGGAGGAAGCCATATGCACCCATTTAATTTCTGGTCTGTCTTCTGTGAACATTAAACTGTCAGAGGGTTTTCAGTGGGAAAGCTCTGCTAAACCATGCTCTGTCTCTGGCTACTTTATTTGCAAAGTGCAAGGCACGTGTCGGAGATGGCGACTGCTCCTGGGTCTTTCCTAGAGGATTGTCCTTACAGTCATCTTTCTCCCACCACGAAAACCTCTATTTGCATCGCACACAAGATGTATGTGAGCACTTAGTAAGAGAGACGTCAGAGCAGGGCACAAAATGAAATGTGTACAACCGAGTACTCTCCCAGCAGAGCTGTTAGATGTGCCTCGTACACCAGAAACTTATTTACAAGGGCACTTCAGTGCTGGTAATAGCCTCTGTTATGAAAGTTGTGTTGTGTTGCCCCTCCTGCAGTCAGGGTACCATCTGTTCCCAGAAAACGTCTCATTCATCTGGTCTGGCCCAGTAGGAATTGCTGCCGAGTGGTCTCAGCTGTCCTCTCATTTGGTTTGGAGAACAATAGCTGGGTTGGGGGGGCTCCGGAGGCAGGAGGTCTGGGAGGATGGTACCTGTGACCCTCTGCCTTCAGCTGAACTGGTGTTTCTGCCTCTGAGTCAAGCTTTGGACCCTATACCGCACTTCCTAACCAGATCACCTGCTTTCTTGTCTGGGGTCTGTACAGCTCCACAGAAATAAGATGCATCTGTTTTACGAGGATGTCTCAAATTTGTGCATTCAGAACAATTTAATAATTCTTCATCTGGGCACAAATTTGGCTTGAAAGCAAAAGAAAATTTAATGACTGAATGATTTTGTGAAGTCTGATCTGCCCCCTCCTAAAAGCAACAGTTATGGGAATACCACGTCCTTTCTCTCTTTCCCCAGATCCATGACTCCAGCCCAAGCAGACCTGGAATTTCTTGAGAATGCAAAAAAGCTGTCAATGTATGGAGTCGACCTTCACCAAGCCAAGGTGAGGATCAGCGTGTGTGCACCTGCCTGTGGATTTTGTAATTTGATTATCCTTCCCTTGCAGGAGCAAGTTTGCCTATTTCGGGAGGCTCTTTTTGAAAGATATAGGAAGTAATCTGGCTACTGGTACAGAAACAAAGACAGAAATGCCTCCAGCACTCTTGCAAGTGTTGCAAGAGAAGTGATTCTTCCCAGTTGCTTATTACTTACATATTACAGGAAGCTTTGCAAAGCTACTGATGTAGACAGCTCCTTGCTCTGAGGAACTTAGAATAAGGCTCTGTCCCTGCAAGGTGAGCTACTCCACTCAGGGAAATGCAGGATAGACTCTAGAGCAGCCCTTTGAGCAAACAGCATTGCAGGAGAGATCTGCAGAAGGGAGGAGGCTGTAAGGAGAAATGTGAAGGAAAAGCCCTGGCTGCATAGGGAGCTACAAGCCGAGGTCTGAGTGGTGGGGAGATGAATTCAGGAGAGCCTGGGGGGAGACCAAAGGGGTAATTTGGAGGACAGATGTTGACCTGAAATTTGTAACTCTGACACTGTTTAAATCCTCATCTGCTTCCCCAGGACTTGGAAGGAGTGGATATCACTCTGGGAGTCTGTTCCAGTGGCCTTCTTGTTTACAAAGATAAACTCAGAATCAACCGCTTCCCTTGGCCCAAAGTCCTGAAGATTTCCTACAAACGCAGCAGCTTCTTTATTAAGATTCGGCCAGGGGAGGTATGTTCTGACTTCTCCGTGCTCGTGTCTTCTTTAATTGCCTTCTGATGATCCCCAACGTGCATGCTTTGCTAAAACAAAGTGCGGGGAGGGAGCAAGCTTTTCTCTGAATGAGCATTTGGTTTCTGATCTTGGCTTGGTATTAAGTTCAGCTCTCCAGGTAGAGCCTGCTAACCTCGCTGAAGCTGTAAAACAGCGGGTGACAATTCTAAACGTGTCATCCAGCACCACCTCCTGGCTCTGCGTGGTATTCCCAGCATCCAGAGAAAAGCAGTGGGAAGCTCACAGTTGAGACTGGGAGAGGACTAACTCCTTTTTTGGAAACAGGGCACGACAAAGGCTCTTTGTCTCACTTTAAAAAAATAATAATAAAAAAAAAAAAAATTAGAAATTACAGAGGCATACTTTTTCACTTAGATTGCCGCAGGCAGGGGGTGGCTGCCCTTACGCTCCCTTTCATGAACAGGGAGATCCCCGGAGCAGCCTGGCTGCTGGAAACACAATGGGGAGAGAGGCTATAATGAGGTTCTGCCTCTTTTCTCCTCTCCTTCATCCTGCTTCAACTGCCCATGACCCAGCCTTGCAGGGAGGTCAGTTTTCAACCCCGTCCCGCTGTTGGGCAGCGTGATGGGGGGGTAAATGAGTCTGAATGGCAGCACAACCCCCAGCATGCTCCTCTGCAAATCCTGGTGCATCCTGAGAGATGCCTGGGATTGCGGTCAAGCCCTGTCTTTTCTTGGACCCCAGCTCCTCCTGCACATCATGGAGTGAGTTCAGCTGCTCTTGGGCTAGACCAGCAGTTTGTGCTGCAGCAGAACAGGTTGATGGGCTGGGACCTGGATGCCTGCCATATTTATTTCTTGCTATACCTAAATAACTTATGTTTTCCACAGCAAGAACAGTATGAAAGTACAATTGGGTTCAAGCTACCGAGTTACCGGGCAGCAAAGAAGCTGTGGAAAGTATGCGTTGAACATCACACATTTTTCAGGTGGGTTTTCTAAGTGGTAGGCTCGCCTTGAATAACTAATGCTTTAGATTAGCTGCTGAAAAGGACCACTCCTTCAGTGTTCCTTGGCGTTTCACAAAATGGGAGTGAAATAGTTGCAGAGATGTTAAGTGTTTATATTGCAATAAATTTCTAGGCAGCTTCTGCTTCATAAGATACATAAGACAGAGGTCTTCTAGCTTATGTAGACATGGGGCGTGTTGTTAGTCTATGTTAATCAAGCGTATGCAGAAATTTCTTTGATTTGTATTTGAATTTCTCTTTACCTGCCTCTTCCTAGATCTAGAGGTATGATGTTTAAATCATGCGTGTGGTTTTCAGGCTGACTTCCACTGAGGCCATCCCAAAGAGCAGGTTTCTGGCACTGGGCTCCAAGTTCCGCTACAGCGGCCGGACACAGGCACAGACCAGGCAGGCGAGTGCCTTGATCGACCGACCCGCTCCCCAGTTCGAGCGGACAGCAAGTAAACGAGCCTCCAGGAGCCTCGACGGAGGTGAGTGTCTGATGCCCCTTCCCTCTCTGTGGTTGGATTCAGTAGAATGCTGAAATACTCATTAAATACCACCTAAATTCCCTGCTTTAAAAAACAAAACAAAACATTACTTCTTTCTTTAATACAAGACCTGGATATAAAACGCAAATCAATAGTAGTACTAGCGAGAATTGACTGACAAAAAAGGATGTAGGTGGGTGCTGAAGGCTTATGGCAAAGTTCTGGCTGTAAAGATATTTCCCCGTTCAATCTCGATGCATTTTCCTTTTAGGAATCAGGAATTAATCTATTCTAGGTTTTGTTTTGTTTAACATAGCTCTTAAATTACACAGTTTTCCTTGAGAGGGAGATTTTTTGCCACAACTGTTTGAAACCTTTTCAGTGTCTGTCAAAGTGATGCTAATGTTGAAGCTTGTGGTATATCGATCAGGTGGGCTCGTCCCTGATGTTTTTAAACAAGGCAGATAGCAGCAGGCTAGAGGAGGTGAGACATGGGAGGGGGAGTGCCTAAGTTTGCTCCCTTTGATCTGGATCACGGGGTGCTTGTAAAATTAGGATCCAGGGCTGAGGGGAGCATCCCTTTGCATCAAAGGCATCTGATGGAGCAAGAGCAGCGTTGCTTTGAGCCCCGAGGTCGTGCTGCAACCTGGGAGGGAGCAGGACTGCCCTAGTTCCCTGTGGCCAGCAGCAGCCAGGCTACCCTCCTCCTGCCATGGGTTTAGAGGGCTCAGCAACACCATGAGGCTGGGCTTCATGCCTCAGAGCTGGGAGGGAAAGGGCTGCTTGGTTTGAGCTCCGTACCACAGCAAAGCAAAATGCCTGCTTGCTTGCAGTCTGGGTGTGCACGGTTACCCAGGCACGATGCACAGAGGCAAGGGGCCAGCGCTGTTGGTTGCCCCTTGGCAATGCCTGGTAGCCCCAGGTGAGTAGAGAAATCCCTGCTGCAATCCCACACCCAAATTATAGAGCTTGGAAAAGAGCAGCCTGTGAATGTAACGCTTCTGTCCCTGTTGAAGTCTCTAGCCTTTTTCCACCTGCTGTGTGGGCAGTCCTTAACATGTGCCCCGTTTCTTCAGCTAAACGTGCGACTCAAAAAGTTGAGTTCAGAGCCGTAGAGGAAGAGAAGCAGGAGGAGGTGGTGGTGGTTGAGGTTCCTGAACCAAAACCCGCGGATCAGATCCGAGAGAAGCCAGGTATAGCTGTGGTGGTGGCTACAACTCTCCTGCAGCGCCTTTCCTATCCTTTACATGCTTGTTCCTGACAACTCAAAGTTTCACCAAATCCAGCGGCTTTCTTTTTCGTTTCTTTGCAAAAAGAGTTTCACAGTCAGAGGACAGACAGCCCAGCAGAGCCCTGGCTCTGGGAGACTCCTTAAATTTCCACCTTGCACCTCGTCAGACAGTAATTCTTGCGGGGAGGTGCGGAAAAAGTTTAGGATGTGCTGGCACTTGAGAACTGTCTCCTTACTAAATGTGGGTGTTTTTGTAAACGTGGATTAGAAAACTTTTAAGTTTGATCTTGAAACTTCTTGTAAAGCTTCTGAAATTCTTCATCCCGGGATCTGCTTGCCATTTTTTAAGCCTGTTCTGGGTTTTTTTGGTGGTTTGAGAAATGCCACCCATTTTGCTAAATGGAGCTTGTATTTCTCTTAAGATAAGTACTATTAATAAATATTAATGCCCTTAAGAGGTGTGTAGGTACGACAGCATGTTTGAATAATAATAAGCATATCGCAGCGGTGGTGTTGTCAAATATGTGTAGTCTTCATCACTTAAATAGCAAATGCCTGTGGTGCATTAGCGCTGCAGATAATTAGTATGCACGTGCATTGTGTACTTCTCCACTTCGCTTCTTCCACCCTGATTTTTTTTTTACAGCATGCTTTTGACATCACTGTTTTTTCTGGTAGGAAATCTAGACCGAGCTTTCATAAAGTAATGTGGCAGACTCTCTCCCCGCCCATGTCTTGCCTTGAATTCTCGCTAGCCAGCATCGCCTGGCAGGGAAAGTCTGATGCTGTAAAAACAGAAGGTGGAGAATTGACATTTAAGACACCAGGATAGATGGTTGCATGTTCTTTGTTTTTAGATTTGAAGTTGATCACTCAAGTACCTTTAATTAAAGCTACTAGTTTTTATATAGGGGTTTATCCAGAGGAGCCTGGGTGTGTTTTTCCTGGATTTTACCAGCCAGCACCTGCATCTCCCCAGACTTTGCAGGCAGAGCCCGTCCTAGTACCACACTCGAGAGCCATTTGCACGCCCCCATGTATCCCTGCCTGGGCAAGAAGCCTGCAAAGCTTATTTGGGTTGTTTTTTCCCCTCTCATCCAATACGCTCTTGGGCCTGGCAGCACTAGAAAGACTGATACGCAATTGCGTGGTGAAAAATTACTATTAAGCTGCCTGCTTTAAAAACCTCCTTGCTGTTCTCAGCGCTGCCTTGGAGAGGGATCACCTCCACACAGTTCTTCAGCTGCTCATTAACGCATGCAAACCTCTTTCTAGCCAAACATGTTCTTGAAACTTTTGAAATGAAACCCATTGCAGAGGAGGAAGAGGAGGAGAAGGTAGAGGTGGTTAAGGTTCCCGTTGCCAAGCCAAAGTTACCGGAGCCGTTGCAGACACGGTCAGGTACAGCCTCAGCAGCGTTTGGCATCGGTGTGGCTCCCACGGCCGCCCGTGCTGTGACCTGCTGGATTGAAGTGGTGCAGTGCTGTAGGACAAGAGGTTGCATCGTTTGCAGTGGTGTTCATTGCCATTAAAATCACGCTTGGCTTTGCAAGTGTGCTGTGATACGCCAGCGCTGCTTTATCGAGGTGAGACGAGGAGGTGCCATGGCTTGGCTGTGTGCCTGCGTGTTGAAATGAGTGTGCAGTGGCCTTTTAACACTCCTCTGTTACCATCCCTTCTTGCAAGGTTCGTTCCCCTGAGCTGTGGGAGCATGTGATGCCTGAAAATCAGGTTGTGTGCTCCGGGACTGCTGGGGGTCACCTACACTTCGCTTTTTTTCTTTGCTAGGGAGCCACCTTCTTCCCTAGTTGGTTTTTTTTCTTTTTCAGAACAACTTCACTGCTACAGACAGACCCACCCTAATCATAATTAAAAGCAGAGTTGGTTAGTCATTGCAGGAAGAGGAGATTGAAGTTGTGGAGGGAGGTAACTGGGAACTTCACCCGTTTTCTTGAATATTATGAAAAACACTAAACCTACAGTTAGATTTGAGGATATTCCGTGGGATGGGCTGCAGCAGAGCAGCCAGCAGCCAATGTGAGACCCAAGCGCATCCAGGCGTCTCCTGCTGCAGCTTCCCCTTCTTCTCATTTACCTCCTGCACTTTTCCTCCTCTTGGCACTTCGGTTCCCAGTAGGGACTGTTTTCTAGGCCAAGGTGATGGTGATTGGCATTTTAAATCTCATATTTTGGAGCAGCCCTTTTTACTGTGTTTAAATTGTCATGTGTCAAAATAACCAATCAACAAAATGTAACTAAAATAGGGCAGTTCTGGCCAGCGCAGAACTCATCGTTTAATGGCAGAGGAAAAGCTTGGTGTCTGTTGTTATTTTTTCCTGCATGCCTTGATGCTCTGAAGTACTGTGAGAGAAGCAGGAGGTGGCCGTGCAGATTTGCTGATGGCAGTATTTCCTTTGCTACTTGATCTTCAAGGTGGCATTTTAACACCTGCATAACTTTTTTAGCCAAACGTGCTCTTGTCAGTGTTGAGATAAGCCCAATTGAAGAGGAGGAGGAGGAAGAAAAAATGGTGGTGAGGAGAGAACTAGAGCTGGTCCCGAAGGAGCCAGGTACCACCGTGATGGCTTTTCACACCCAGCATCCTCCTAATCCCGACTGTCCCTGCCATCTCACCGTCCCTCTGTACAACCTCCCTGGCGGCTGTCACTGCTTCCGTGGCATAAATAACACTGGGACACGGCGCCGGTTGTCCTTCCAAAAGGATAACACAATGTCTGGCTCACAGAAATGAACTGCCGTGCCGAAGAGGGGGGAGATAATGGAGGAGGTGGTGGTGGATGGGGTCTTAGTGTGGATTTTCAGCAAGATGCAGTATCCAGGAGTTTGTTTCAGTCTCTGGAAAATCAGGTTCTTTTTTGCCCCTCCACCTTATATGTTTTTGGCCACATAGATATTTCTGTGCATGTTTCATACGCACAGATGAGATGCAGTTATCTTTTCAGTGAAACAGGAATTTTTACTAAGGAGTTAGTTAAAATTATGTTTTCTTTTTTAATTCCGAATTTTCTGGTGTCTTTGACGTGCTGGATGGACACTAGTAACCTAGCGTGGGCTGGGGTAGGTTACACAGTGCGTATCGCTTGCTGCATAAACTGTGACTTAGTGATATGAGACCATGTCAAAGAAATTATTTCTGGTGACTAGGTATATTTCTAGAGGAATGGCCATAAAAAACAACATCGGGAGAACTAAATAGCTCATTGTGTCTACAGGTATGCACAGCGACTTAATTGGGGCTTGCTTTGTCACGCAGTATTGGCTTGAGTATTTTGCAGGTGTCAGGCTTTTCAGGGGTCAGGAACTGTCTGGGAAATCAGGAATTGAAGGAAAGAGGAGGGCAGTTGATTTTGTGTGTACCTAGTGCTTGTATTTAAGACTGTCATCGTTCTCTGGAAAGATGATTTTTGGCAGCACGCTATTCATTTCTGCACTGTCACAGATTTGGAGGTGCTGGGTATCTTCTCGCAGCGGCGCCTTGGGCTGCAGCAAGAGATACCCACCTCGGACACGCAGCCTCAGCCTGCTTTGAAACCCACCTGGAAGTTGCTGTAAAGTTTTACAGAGAAATGCTTGTTGATTGGGTTTTTTTGTCTGAATTGCTGAAAAGATTGGGGAGATGGGGAAAAGCCTGTGTTGCCCTTCCAGAAACCATCTGTTTCTGGTTGAGGAGATGCCAGCGAGTCAAGAGCTCACCACAGCTATAAGTGTTTCTATTTTAACGGTTGCATTGGGATGGACTTCTGTGTCTGTTGTGTGTGAAGGACCCAAAAACTGATGGCACTGTGTCAAAAACAGATTCACCTTTCTGGTGTGGCTTCTCTGCAGAGTGCAAGCTTGCTTTTTGTAAACCATCTGTTGTGGGGTTTTATTTTATTTTATTTAAACCGTAAGGAAAATAATCACAACTTTCCCATACTAAATGCACAAGCTGCTTTGCTCAACATCTTTATTTCTTTTCCCTTTTTTCCTCCCTCCTCCCTTTCTTTTTAAACAGCAGCACTGTAATTTGGAAAGGCTTTGCCTAGTGCATTAGAAACACGGCCCGCTCTGAACATTGTCCCTGTCTGTCTCTCCCCCATCCTCAGCGGTGGCCGTGATAACCCCTGAGAGGAGTCCCCGTCCCACCTCTGCCCCGGCCATCGCTCAGAGCCATGCTGCAGAACCAGTCCCAGCTAAGCCCGACGTGAAGGATGTGGTCGCTACCTTCAAAGTAGAAAAGGAAGCAGCAAAATCTGATGTGAGGCGTGAAGAAATCCCACCAGAGAAAGCCAAGCCGGAGCCAGCCGATGCATCAAAGGTATGTCAGGCCAGAGCCTCTTTGGAAGAGGCTGAACTTGTGCTGGGCCGGAGCATCGGCTCTAGAAGCCACCCCAGAGCAGCAGCTCTGTGCACCTTCCCCTCCCGGGCAGCGAGGGATTTATTCCTCGCCCGGGCATTGGGTGGGAGTGAGGAACAGGGATCTGGGTACCCTCCAGGTACAAGGAAGGACGAGGTCCAGGGCAGCTGGATTTTGGTGGGTGCAGTCAAACTAAATGCAACTTACTGATAAATGGTTAAAAAAGCTGGCAAGAATTGCACAGAAGTTCATGGTAATTGAATTTAGAGCTCATCTATTGGTAAGCTGTCTCTTCTGATTCCTGGTACGACAGCTGGAGCAATTCCAGTGAAATCAGTGGTACAGATCTGGTCTGCAGCCCAGCATCTGCATGTCAAAGTTTTTTACATTGATAGCCTTTCTCTGGGAGAGCTGTTAATATGTTTCTGCAAACTGGACTAAAACTTTAGTTGTGAGTGGCACTGTTGAGACCTCGGAGGGGGTTTATTGTTTAAATAAATTTTTTTTAAACATTATTTGAGCTTTTTATGAATGTCTGAGACCTCTGCTGATGTTGATCTGTGTGTATTGTTCACTTAAGTGTAAATAGTGTGGAAAATTATTGTTCATATTACAGTGCCCTTAATATTCTGCAAATCTGATTGAAACCTTCCAGTGTTGCAGCAGAGATGTACGCCTCAGGATACAATTTTCCCGTTACTCTGCATATTTAGCTTTTCTCAGCACTGCACGTTTTTACTGTAACATATCACGCAGCGGGTCTTGTATGTCATGCTCCAGGGGAGATCACTATTAATTAAGGTTGGGAGATGGAGGTGAAGAAAGGACAGTTGCTGTGTGACCTGTCATTTTTAAATGAAAACACTGAAGAGATCTTCAGGATGGCACTTGGGAGTGTGCATCGCGGCACAGAGTTCCTGCCATGCTGCTCCTGCACGGCTGCTCACCCTCCCTAGTGTTAAACTGAGAACAAGTAAATTTTATTCATCCCGTCTCACTTATTACAGGTTTTTCCCCTAAATGCTTAAACACTGGATTTTTTTTTTTCTTTAAATGTAGATGTGGGAGGAAATTGTGGATTTGAACGTGCCAAATTTACCCTGTTTCTCAAATGTAGCTGTGTCACTTCTTTTAACACCCACCAATGCTTTTGCCTTTAGAGTATTTGGCAATCCAGTTTCCCTAAAATACTTTCCTTAAAGTGTTAAGACAATCTTGGCTCTCTGCTTATGGGCAGTAAGAACTTAATTTGTGATGTTCGGTTTGATTTTATAGATAGGCCTTGTCTCACTGACTCTGTGAACATAATACCTGTGCGTAACAAATCATTTTCTGGTTTTGAGAAGGTCTGTGCTAATTTGAGCGCGTTGCTTTTGGTACGGATTTCACTGGGAGATCCAGCTGCAAATGAAATTTGAAAACATTGCCTGGCAAAGCTAATACAAGTGGGAAGCCCTTCTTCTTCAGAAGCACTAGAGAGCACTGGTTTCAAATGCAAATAATTCTCAAGCTGAAGGAATTATTGTAAATGTGGTGTTAACTAACAGCCTGTTGGAGAGCTGCGGTGGTGTTAACTCTTTCCGGAGGACTGCATGTTGGTTTTTGCATGTTCACCCAGCATTTCAAAACCAACTTTCTGCAGCTGTGTTTTGAAACTAAATGGTCTCTTGAAACAAGTCTTACTAACAAGAAAATGTTTTTACCAATTTATTTCTTAAATGTAGGTGAGGAAAACGCACATTGAGGTCACAGTACCCACCACGAATGGTGACCAGCCCCAGGTTTGTGCTAATAATACAGTTAGGTTGCTCACTTTTTTTTTTTAAGGATATACAGTGAGGTTCAACAGAGTTAAATGAACCAACAACTTTTTTTTTTTTTTTATCACTGCCCACCAGCAGCAGCCTGCAGAAAAAGAGGAAGAACTGATAAGAATGAGGAAGGTTAGCCATTTTACACTCTCACCAAATTTACCATATCATTCATGCATCCGTAACCTGTTTAAAAAGACAGTGCTCCAATTTCTTCTTGTGCTTTGGGTTGGGTTTTTGTTGGTTTTTTTAAACTGCAAGATTTTAAAATCAAGAGCTTTTTGTCCCATAGATAGCCTGATTGCTAAAATTACGCATGTTGAATATTTGAGAGAAACACTCTTGGTTTGATTTATAAAATTTTATCTTCTCTGTAACAAATTTAGTTAGAAACCAAAGAAAACTGTATAGTGTGCATTCCAGGAAATGCAAAACCAAAAAGTAAAAAGCTTTTTTGTATTGATTAAGTAATAGCAGATGTATCCAAGGTGGGAAAGGTGGTTAAGACATAGTTACTGTGCACGTTCAGACCTTGTAAAAGTTACCCCAGGCACTACAGCTTTGGGCGTGCATCACTGTCAGGAATATGAACTGCGTGCAAGGCTTCCACAGAAAATGGGTAAACTGGCTCCTTGTGGTGAGCGATACGGATCAAGGCAAAAGCTGATGAACCCCTGGGAGCTGTCTCTTTAAAGGACTCATTGCATTTCCCCATTCTCCATGAGCAAGAACCCCCATTCCCTGGTGGTGGCCCCACGCCAGCATCCCTGCGGCTGGGTCCCCACCCCACACTGGCACAGCGCTGCGCTCCCAACGTTGAGTTAACTTTTTTAATTTGCCAATTTGTCAATCCCGCAAGAACAACATTTTAATTTTTTGTGCTTTTCTTTTTTTTTTTTTTGTTTTTGTTTCCCCCTTTTCTTTCATTTTCACAGAAAAGATCAAAGAGGCTAGATGGTGAAAACATTTATATCAGGCATAGCAATTTAATGTTGGAGGTTTGTATGAACTTGAAGCTTTTTTCAGTTGCGTTTGCCTAGACCTTCTGCATCTGCGCTGAACTTTTTTCTTCCTCTTCTGCTGCTGCCTTTGTTTTTGCATGCTGTTGCATGAAAGACCTTTTTTTTATTGTTATTATTTTAGATGCGCTTTTGCATGGTGACAGTAAACATGATGATGTGCAGGCATTCTTCCTTCTACCTCTTCTGACTTTCATTCTCTCATACTTACCCAAAATATATGATTGGCAGAGATCAGGTCTGTTCTTGGACCCACTGGGTGCTCACAGCAACATGAATTGGGGAGGGGTGTGTGTGCGCTCATTTGCAAGTTTTTCCTTGCTTGAAATAAATTATTTTCCTGGGGGAAAAGACAGTCTATGGAATTGCAAAAACCAGGATAAGCTGCAGGTGAAGTTGTCCCTGCCGTGGCGTTCAGGCCACCGTGACATCCGCATTGCTTCAGACAGGAGTGAGTCCTCCTTTCGGGCATTGCTGCCGGCATTGCAGTGATGCTTGCAACATTGCAATCCTCCTCCCACCGCTCGCTTGCCTTGCAGCAGCTTTAACACTCCCCTGGGCTCCATCCTGCATCAGCACCAGGTCCCCTTGGCGCCGATGCAGGGGCTTGATGGCCACGGGTGGCTTGCGAGCGGGCGAGAAGCTGTTTCATCCCTCCCCGTACAGCTATTCCCTTCAGCTTTGGGAGCCCTTTACACTTGGTTTCACCCAAGCACAGTCTCAGAACAGAACATGCCAATCATATATATATTTTTTTTTTTTTTTTCTGTGTTTTGTAACATCTGTATGCTGGGTCTTCTGATACTCTGTGTTATTTGTTTCTACTCAAAATTGCAGCACCAGCAGCTGGTAGGGTTTCCCTGTTGGTATCTCTTGCAAGTGAAGTGTACTAACTGCCTTCTCCTAACCTGTTTTAAAAGTTTTGCAGCTTTTGGGTGTTTGGTTGGGGTTTTTTTTGGATTGGTTTTTTTTGGTTTTTTTATTGGTTTTTTTTTTTTGACTGCTACAACTTAAGCTTTCGGCCGCAAGTGAAGGGTCTGCAGCACGACAGGCAGGGTTCAGCCGCCACCGGAGCCCTGCGAAGACTGTGCCTGTCTCTTTTCTTTTGCCCAACTCGAGCATCTCCATCTCCCCAATCCCAAACAGAGCTTTTTCATTGCTTCTGATCCCCTTTTTCCTGGTAGTGCAATGCTCTCACACCCAGCCCCTTCTCCAGCCCGTTCCCTCTCCGCTGCCCTCCCCGCCAATTCTGTTGCAGGTGCTCCAGCCCTCCCCTAGAAAAGGGCTGACCCCAGCAGCTCACCCCCTTTATTCCATTTTTTTTTCAATCCATGCATTTGGCAGATCAGATGTTTTTCCAGCAGACCTCATATTCCTGAAGCTGCTGCTTGATTTTATTGAAAGCTTTTTACCGCTCCGTGCTCGATAACCCGCACTCCGTGTTCTTACAAAAAGGGCAAAACAGGAGGAAAAGCATTAGCGCTTAGCAAGCTTTTTCCTCCAGACGCTTTCAAGACCCGTTGTGGCTCCGTGTAGCTCCTCGTGGCTTTAGCTTCTCTGCAGACCCTCCCAGGACCAGCTCTTGCGCAGTGGTGGATAGCCAAGGTGGCCTTTCTCTCTTCTCTAAACCAGGAGCGGCTGTAGGGCTCCTGGACCCTGGAGTCCTCAGCAGACTTATTTGTGCTTTTTTTTTTTGTTTGTTTTTTTTCTAACTAGCAGGCACTTGCCTTGTGCTTTCATCCAGGACAGATGCCAAAACCTGCTTTTTCCCCCCCCGAGAACTGTGCCAAAAAGAGTTGTTAATATGGCATTTGGGGCTATAGCCCTGCGGAGAGAGGACGGTGTGTCCTGGGTGAGCTGCAGGGACGCAGATATTTGGGGGGGACCCTCCTTTAGGGATGCATTTGCTCTCCCACCTTCTAAAACCCATGGTACCAACTAAAAGCACAAAAATGGTGACATTGCCCAGTTAATGCTTTTACTGACCTTAATTTCCCCCTTTCTAACAGGTGAGGCTTGCTGCTTTTTGGCACTGTCCAGAGAAGTTGGTGTTTGGCTTATGCCTATTTTATGCAAAAGCTTTGTTTTCAACAAACTCCGGTTTGCTTGCAAGTAAAACGCTATTTTAAACAAGTTGGAGAGCTGACTTGCCTTAAAGTCTGCACATTTATGCTGTAAACCGGCATCACAGAGTAGAAACCTGGCTTTTTCCAGATGAAGTATTTTAGCAGGAGTTTCTTGATTGATCAGGCATAAAGTAAATTCTCAGTTTGATTTTTAAAGGGCTTTCATCTCATCTGCATTTCAGAAGTCTGAAGCCTCCTGTAGTAGCTCCTGGAGGGAATGAGATGAGAGCGGGGGGGATGGAAAGTAGTGGGGGTATTCTGGGACCAAAGATAATTCCTGGTAGGATGGAAGAGAAATAGGTATGAGGAGAATAAATAAAATTGGGAAATACTTTCTTTAAATATTAACTGCATTTATACCCATAAATAGTCAGGCTAGCAGAGGGGGGAAAAAAGCAAACCCACCCAATTTAAAGGCATTAAATTAAATAAACAAATGTATTATTGCAATTTAAAAAAAATCCCCATGGGGAAAGCCCGTGAGATCACACCTCAGCTGTCATCTCTTTTGGTGTAGCTTGAGATGAACTGATGGCACGTCCTGCTACTGGAGGAGACCCCACTCCGTGCCGGTTGCAGTTTATCCCAATTAATAGAAGAGGAAAGAGGAGAGAGGACGTTCCCTTTGAGTGTTTGCAGTGTGAGCGCAATTGATGGAAGTCGGCAACAACTCTGCTGAGCGCAGCTTTGCTATGCGGCAGCCTAGGCAATCGCAGGTGTCCTCTCCGTGTCTCTCCATTTATCCTGTCCTTTCACTAATAGGATCTAGATAAGACCCAAGAAGAAATAAAGAAGCATCACGCCAACATCAGTGAGTTGAAGAAGAACTTTATGGAGTCCGTCCCGGAGCCTCGGCCGAGTGAATGGGACAAACGCTTGTCCACTCACTCCCCTTTCCGAACCCTCAACGTCAACGGGCAGATTCCCACGGGAGTGGATGGAGTGAGTACCTCAGCGGCGTGTGGGTGTTAGTGCACTGCACAGTAGGGTGCAACTTCCAAGGGGACAGCTTTGCAACCTAGGAGTGAGCCTCAGGTCCCCTCAGGTTTTGGTTATATTGAATTTTAATAGTTAATATTGACTCTTAACATGTATAATGGTCGCTGAGAGAATTGATGCTTTAGTCGTAGTATCATTAAAATGTGATTTTTAAATTTTTAAAAATTTTTTTTGATAGAAAAGAACGCAGGAATTCTTCACCTGGTTTTGATGCTGCTTTTCCTAGCGTTGTTGTCATCCATGATGCTAGGGTATACTTCGCATGGCTGTTTTGGGGACTGGTTTATTCCTGATGCCAGGGAATGCATCTCCTCAAAATGTGGAAAAAAAACCCCAAACCCAAACACCTAAATTAAAGGGAATTACTACTTCAAAGATAATATTGCAGATAACCCAGTGGAGAAGCACTAGGATGGTACCCATTTTCAAAAGCCACTTTATTCTCCAGTTAATCCAGTGTGTCATTGGGTTTAGTCTTGCATTAGGATCTGCAGGTGCTGATCTGGTGTGGAGGCTTCAAGAAGACTCCGCAGGTGGCTACAGCAGGGCTGTTCATACGTGATGGAAACCTTTCTCCTTACAGGAACAGTGTCTGCGTGTTAGTAGCCATACACATTCACAGTCTCCCTGCTAATGTCCTTAAAAAGGTAATTTTTCAAAGAAACGGAGTTGGAGCAGCAGAATTCTGTCTGCCAACTAGTTTCTTCCTGGATAACAGACAGCCTCCCTGTTTAATATTGGTGTTACCTAGCTCAGATTTGAAGCTTGTGAGTAAAACTGTAGCTAGAGCCTGTGGTAATAAGTGTCCTTAATAAATGCAATTTTTCATTACAACTGAAAAATTGCATCATGGCTGCAGTGGCGGCAGTCGTAGTCTCTCCTGGTTTAAGCCTAGCTTCTCCCCTTCCTGCCCACAGTGCTGCGGATATGCTTGCATTTCATCTTCAGACCATTGCAAGGGAGATACTTTTTAAAAAGAAACAATCTTGCAGCAGAGGGAGAGTTATCAGCACAGGTACAAGGGGTTTTAGCAGCCAGGTTTACTACAGCTGCCTCAAAGCATAGAGAAAAGCCATGACAATTATAGGGCCTTTTTTCCCTGTTAGAAAAACAAAACTCCTCAAATCAACTAATTGGGGTTGACCATTACCCTTGCAATTACCCTGTTTAACACGTGGATGGACTTTCCTGTTTGGTTGCTGAGTCTCAGTGTAAATTCTGCAGGAATTTGGGCAGCAGAGCAATGCAGAGCTCTGCCCACGGTGCCACGTGGTTTACGGATGTGTGGGTGGGATAGAGCAGGGGCTCTCAAGCTCCACAACTACAGTTCAAGAATGATATTCTTGGTTATTACAAAGAATTTCTTGCATGGTGACTGCATGGGAGGTCTTGGGGGGCTGCTGTTCATGGTAACTGGATGGTGTGGGCTTTACCCACCTAAGGCTGCAGTGGTCCACAGCGATGCCAGGATTGGTGTCAGCCCTGGATTTGCATTTCTGGAAATTCCCACTTAATCTGATCCTCTCTGAGGTGGACACGTTCTGCTGTGAACTTCCAGAAATGCATCTTCACCAGGCACCTACCAGGGAGGGTGTTTTCCTTCACCTGTGCATGTTTAAGGATGGTAAACCACGATGCAGAGCAATCCTATTTCTCCTGTTCATAGCGGTATCTTCACCTGGCTGTAGTGGCCAAAGGGTATCCTGCCAGGGGCTGCTTTTCTGCTGTTCCTAAATGTTTTATTGCAAGACAACTGAACCTTAACACGCTTTGTGTGTCCAGGTCAAGAAAGTCACTGTCCTATCTTCTGAGAGACAGGTTGGTGGGCTTGAGGTAAAGCTGCTGTTAAAAACGCAGCAGCAGCTGCTGGATAACATTTTTTCTTTTGGCTACACATGAAGTAGTTTCATAACTCACACCGAGAGGACTTTTGCACTGCTGCAGCTTTTGCAGCTTTCGATTTTGCTTATTTTGGTGCATGGCTGGTTCGAAAAAGCTGCATGAAAGATATAACCGTGTATTTGGAGAGAAAAGCAATTATGAAAGTTTAACTGTACCCTGTTCTTTTTATGTTGTCTTTCTTTCCGTTTTTTTGTTTTAATGATCATGTTACTCTTGCATTTTATATTTTCTTTTGCTGCCCAGTCTCCCAGCTACTTTCTCCCCAGTACTCATCACTTAGGGGTGTGCAAAGAACCGGTCCCAAAATACCGCACTGATCAAAGGAGGCTAGCTCAACTGAGAGAGCTGAGAGCCAAGTTTTTCCTCTCCTAGGTGTTCCTCTCCTAGGGTTTGGCCAGGTCTGGCAAACTAAAGGGATGGAGAGTTACTGAACAGCAACATTTCCCCCAATCTTTTCTTTCTTCAATGAAAGCACTAGAGCCCTTGCATGATCCTACGTGATGATTTGCTCGTTCTGTTTTTTTACATTCTTTAGACTCCAGAAGCAAAAGTGCTAAAATGCGGAGCAAAATTTAAGGAGTTTGCAACACTCCTACTGCCATCCTGCCTGTTCCACACTCGGGATTTCTAAGATGTAACAATTTTTCACTTGTTCCAGTAGAATTTTAAAAAAACAATTGAAATTTTGATACTGTCGTGAGAACTTTGAAAAAGCATTTTGTATCTGCACTGCAGTTGGATGTTCAACGATATTTAACAAACGCTATTTTTTAAGGGCGCTGTAAAATAGAAAGCTGTCAGAGATCACATTTTGTACTACACCATTTCTATTTCTAATGCCTCAAACTTTTTTTTTCTCAACCATTCCAATTCCAAAACACTTCAGTAGGCTTTGAGCGTACGCTTTTCTGGGAGGGCAGGCGCAAAACACGTGTGGTCATGATCCAGAAGTTTGTGACAAAACACGCGTGATCCTGACCCAGATGTTCATGAGCTCTGCAGAGAGGACTCGATTTTGTAGCTCTGAGGCTGGTGCGACCCAAGGCACCAGTGGCTCTGCTCCCCGGGGCAGTTTATTTTTACATTGAGAGGAAGGCTATCCTAACGCTTTGCACACCTCCAAGTATCTTTTTGGGCACTTTCCATCTGTCATTTTTGTTCATCTCTCTCTGTCTTTCTTGATCTTCTACCACGAAAGCAGACACAGGAACGTCCTCTGTTAGTACAGGATGAAGACAAACTAAAAAAGCAGGAGATACCTACTGAGACAGCCTTTCCCCGGCAAGCAAGTGAAGAAACTCTTCCAAAGGTTTCTATTCCAATTCCTGAAGAGCAGAAATCACTCAAAAAGTGTCAGCTGTACTCTAGCATTTTTCCTTCTCCACGTATTCCCTTTATGATGTCCTTTCTCCTGGTCATAGCACTGACTGTTTGGTGGCTGCTCTTTCTCTGAGTGGCAACAGGGTCATGTTGAAACCTCAAGACCAAAGCTCCTGAATTTCTTGGCTGTAGCCTCTGCTGCATCTTCCTTGTCCTGGTCTTCCCTGTCTCCGTAGTTTGCTGTCCCAGGGAGGGACACCCCGCGGCCGTCGTGTTAATCCTGCTCTGTGTCGTTGTGTAGCTGTGATCCGGGACCTGGCAGGAGTGGTCATGGATTGCCAGGTCCATTCCGAAGTTTCCTAGTGTGCAAAAGCAAATTCTCTGAACCATGCTCCTGATGGCTGTAAGAGGGCAGACGGGGAGCGTAAATACGTAGGAGGAGACGTTTGCTTCTTCAGCCCCTGTAGCCTTCACGTAGGAATTGCCGAAGACTCGCTTTTAAGCTTCTTGTTTTAAGTGTAAGATGTTCACAAGCTGAAGAATTTGATACTGATCCGCAAGAGGGTCTACAGCAATCTGCTGAATCTAATCCATAACCACTCCTTTTCTAGGAAACTAAGACTGGTATTTAAATACAAAGTGTTGTTTATCAATGCTGCTGTTAGTGTTAACTTTGAGACAGGGATGGGCGACTTTTCATTTTCCCAGTGGGGGGGAAGCCTTTTGCAAAGCATCGCCGCTTCCCTCTCGCACCCCTATTCTCGTTTCCAAGGAAGTACATCCTGTTATAGGAGAAAACCCATTGCAAAGGAAATATTTATTGTAAACATAGATTAATCATTTTTCTGAATCTGGTGGTCTTGGTGCACTTCAGATGTGGGTTTGTTTTTTTTTTAATTTGTGTTGAACTAACTGATGCATGTTCGCTTAGGTCGCAGGAATGGAGTGACCTGCTGTTAGGTACATCTCCTCTGTTAGCATGTTGACTTTACCCACATCAGGACACACTTCTAATGTTAAAGCCATCGATTGTTTTGACTTCTCTAACAAAACCGTTGCATGCCGCTTGTTGTTTCTTGCCTACAAATGTAAATGTCTGGATGATGCTCACGTTTATCCGAGTTACCCTGGTTGAGCTGCATAGGCTCTGGGATGAGTTGCCCAGCTGGGCTGAGCAGAACTGGTTTGCAAAGCCGGAGGGAAGATGGGACTTTGTGTCTACGGGGTTTCTTTTCTGTATATAGTAATTATGGGACCGAGCTGAGCCAACTGCTTCTCCTTTCGGTAGTAATCTGCTTTCTGTTGCTTTCTCTGGAGGATTGGTGCAGACACAGTTTATTCTGAGAACAGCCACCAGTGCCATCAGTGTTGGCAGCTGCTCCAGCAGCACAGAAGAGAAAGGAGTAGACCTTTATTACGGGGACTAAAATGTGTGAATATATATAAATACATGTATTTATAACCCTTTCTAGATCTGTATCTGTGTGAACAGTGTTATTTAGGAAGCTAGCAGATAAGCTTGCAGGAAAAAGACATAAGGCAAATACGGCATGTGCTGTCTGATCTGAAGGACCGTGGTGTATCACGGACCATTTGAGCCACTTCTCTTGCTCTCAGTGTACAGGTTGAGGCTCTCTAAATGCTGTCTCAGAAACTTAGGTTGCTAGTGAAACCCTTAGTTTTAATCTTGCAGGAATCTTTCTGATTACTCTTGTAACCTGCTCTGATTAGTTCACCGGTTTGTGCCTTTAGGACTTTGTTTTTGTGAGGATGCTGGTTTTTCATTGGAAAGTATTCTTCCCTTTTTAATACACTGCCTTTAATACACAGTCTTCCTCTTTCAGTGGTTGGAAGGTGTAGAAGTCACTGGGTTGTTGTAGAGGCATACCGTGGTGCCAGGGAGAGCTGTCAGCATCGCAGCCTGCCTGCTGCCTGCGTTCTCAGCACGGGCAGCGGACGGACGGTGCTGCTCGGCGGGCTGCGTGCCTGCACCCTAGGAACGCGCCTTAGGACGCACGTGAACTCCATCGAGCTCGGCGTGAAGTTTAGGAAGGCTATCTCGAGAAGGTGGGCCCTGCAGAGGTAGGAGAGGCGGGGAAGGATGCTGAGGTGCCACGTGCTGTGCAGAAAATACAGGATGGGAGAAGCCAGGGGGGATGCTTCTGGCTGGGGTTCCTTGCCTGAAGCTCTTTCCCAAAATTGGAACAGGCATGATGAAAAACAGGGACTGTTTGTTTTCCCTGACGTGACGTGGAGAGGGAATGGACGGGATTTTTCTGTCCATATTCCCTGGAGAAGAGCAGCTTAAACACACACCTGCTTCCTTTCAAAAGCCATTGCTTGGGTTAGCTGCTGCGATGCTGCTTTGAGCGGTGTTGAGGTTCCCGCACGCTCTCTTTCTGAACCGATGATGAGTACTTTGAAGCCATACCAGTGGCTTTTGCAAAGCCATGGTTTCTGTAGCTCTATCTACCATTTCCAAAGGACCCGAAGTCTAAAAATCTTTGCCCAGAGCAATGTCTGAACATAGTGCTCAGGGTATCTTATCCCGGAGTGATGAGAGATGCGCTCTGTTGGTCACTTAAACGCAATTCTTTAGCTTCTTAATTAGAATGGTCTCTCTCTGTCTTTTTCTTTTTTTAAACTTGAGATAAGGCTGGTTATCATCAGCAGAAAAACTTTGAAACTTTACATTCTGAGAATGCTCAGGAACATTTTTGGGATTTATATAACAGCTATCACTGCAGAGTATAAAGAAACTGAACAAATACTTTATATTTCTATGACAGTTTAGAGGCCAGTTACCTATATTCATCCGGGTGGATATGATCTCTTCTGACAGAGAAAGCCCATAGCTTACCAGGAACAGAAACCTCATCTGTTCGATGCCGCAGTGATGTGCCCGCTGTGCTCCAGCCCCTTTGCCAGTCGCTCCTCCGCTTTTTTTCCCTGTTTTCTTGTAAGGCAAAGGGGTTACAGACGTGCCCCATGGCAGTCCACGTAAGGTCTCGTTCCTGCACATCATGTATCTTGTACGTGTCGGTGCTGTGCTGGTTGATTCCTGCTTTCACCCTTTTCCCTTGATGTCCGTGCAGGATGTGGTGCCGAAAGAAGGGATTTTGGGATGCCTGCTGTCGTACCCGTGCACAGGGAGAGTTGATACGCTCTAGCTGTGTTTAAGGGCAGAGGTCTCAGGGTTTTCGTAAAGGAACCAGTGCGTGTATGTTGCTCCCTTTTTTCCTCAGGAACAAACTTGTTGCAGAGCATCGGCAGCCCCCCCGGCTGCCTGCCCCGACACCATCACTGGCCCCGAGCGGTGCTGGGATTATTGCACCCTGTTCGTATGCGGCTGGTGCAATGCCAGTCTGTGAGTAATGGAGAACTGAATTACCCTTTCCCAAAGGGCAGCTGGAAATGTCCGCAGCACGTAACTTCATCCAAGTTGGCCTGAGAAATCCTGATTTTTTTTTTTCAATGTGACCTGCTGCAGAAAATGACATTTCAGTTACTCTGGCATACTGGTGACATAGCTATGATAAGACTGCCAGCAGTTTTGATTTAAATTAGACTTTCCCAGTGTTTTGTGGGCTGGCCACTCGGCTGCAGCAAGGCTCTTTGGTGCTAACGTGTGGGATCCAGTTAGCAGCTGTCGAAGCTTCAGCATTTTCCATCACAAAATTGGTGGTGGTTGGCTCCGCGCTCACTTTCTGAATCTTCTTACCCTGGTACCATCTCCTCTGAACAGATAGCATCTTGTGCTTTCATGCTTTGAGAACAGCTGGGCATTAGTATTTTGAAGCAGCAAGCATGCCAGAGCCGATGGCTTGAAACTTGGATTCAGCTCTGAGGCTGCCTTAGGTATCGGGCTCTGTGTGTGATGATCATCGGTGATATTTGAGGTGTGCATTACTGTAAAACAACATCCCTTTTCTTTTCCATTATTAAAAGTGAACAACTCAATGAAGGTATTGTCTGCAACTCCTGCCCTGTGCTGCTTTGCCCGGTGGGTCAATAGAAGATGAACTGAGGACTCTCATGGGCAGGTCAGGTTAGGGTATGGGGTTAAGCTAAGACCAGCTCTCCTCCCTTGCAGTTTGTGCGGTAACTAGTGATGACCCTGAAAAGTTGGTATTCAATGTTTATCTCCTATCCTGAAATAATGAGGAAAGGTGGATTTCCTCAGCGTGGCACCAAAAGAGTAGTTTGTGTTTGCAGGAACGAGGTAGGGCTGGCCTTGCTGTGTCCGTACAGCGGGGTTCCTCGGGAAGGTGATGGGCAAAGTGTCTTTCTCTTCACGTAAGGGTGAATAATTTGTGACTGGTAATTATTCCCCTGGTTTCTTAGGTTTTCTTTTTTCCTGGTCATGAGTTGATGTTGCCTGTTCTGACATACAGACTGAGGTAGGATGCTTTCTGGAAAAATTCAGCCCAAAGAAGGGTTACGGATTCATTTAGAACCTCTTTGGTCTGCACTTACCAGTGGGTGACACTGGAGAACCCGACAGTGGTGGTTTCTCTTGTGTCCCTGTTTGCATCTGCCTCGGTTTGTGAAGCTGGAGGGAAGGACTAGCCTTGGTTTGTGCCGCTTTGGGATCTTCTAGCATGGTACATGGTCGTGTTGGATCAGTTTGCGGGGACTGAAAACACTTTCTTTTTTACCTAAAATGCTCTCTTTTGGAACACTTTTTCGGTTTTGTATTTTTTCTCAGATTTTTCTTTGTAAATATGTACATTTATCATTAATAAATGTTACTGCAAATCAGATTCTTCTTTCCACTGCTTATTAACAAAAAAAGGTGTGTATGACCTGTGTTAACGACTTCCTTGGACTAACCCTCAGTATTGCTTTCTCAAACCAGGAGCCATCAGACCCCAGGTCATTACCAGTTACGTTCAGGGTGTTGGGTCATCTGGGCGCCCTGTATGGGTTTTGTGCTCCTGGGGAGAGGGGCACACAAGGCTGCGGCTGTAAGCTCTCAAACTGGCCAGAATTAATTCAATTGAGGACTAAATCTGGCTTGGTTTAAGAAAGGCTTTGTTTGCAGAGGGGTCAAAAGGTTCAGCCCTCTACCAAATACTTAAAGTAACACTCACAGGTTCTCCCTCTGCGCTTCTGAGACTGAACGGGAGGAAAAAATCATTTGCAAAAAGTTGTCCCGAGACCAGAAGCGTCGCAGGTCCTGCGCAGTGCAGCTGTGACAGCCTCTGCCCTCCATGTTGTATTAATTTGAGGACAAAAATGCTCCCTTCTGGTTTTGTAAGCAAAGAAACCACGTTCCTTATTAACCACCGCCTTTCTGCTTGGTAATACAATGCACGCCTCTGGTTGGGTTTTCGCTGGTTGAAGCTGCCTGAGGTGGTGTCTAGAGGCTTGTATCAAGAGTTAGTCTTGATTGTAACTCTCAACTTTTCTTCCGGGAAATTATTTACTTCTGGTTAAACTGTTTGGCTCATTCTGTGCTGTCACGAGCGATCACAGGAAAGCAAATCCGGCTGCAGTGGAGCAGCACGAGGCTTGTGCTGCTGCTCTCCTGGATGAGCTTGGCATCAGGCTGAGCTGTAACTTGATTTGTACAAAGCAAGCGAAATGCAGCAGCGCAGAAGTGATGTCAGTTCTAAAGCCTGACGGTATCCCTACTCTTCTCACTGGCTGTGGCTACACTAAATGGGAGGCAATGTTTGCAATGCCACTAGCAGCTTTTGCTCTGCAGAGGGAACTTGGAATCAAGAAGCGCACAGCGTTGTGCCCCCTATCCAAGGGTACCTGCCCTCCAGAAGGGATGGGAAGGGAGTCAGGGTGGATGGGGAGAGGGAACGCTGCTGGAATCATATTGCTCAGCAACTTTATTTTAATAACTTCAGTGTTGATCTTAAGGTTGTTTCGTGTTGCCAAGTAGTTGATGCAGTGGATTGGAAGTGGCTGCTGTGGATCATGTAATATCTTGGGATTCTTGTCCGTGACAGCAAGTTAATCTTTTTAAGCTTGTAGAATGCTGTGTATTTTCTAGCCTTTTAACTTTGGTCAAATTCTCTTTTATCCTTCTGTTGTCTGACTAGGCTGGTCAGGATGTTGTGATCAGATCAATGGCAATTAAAAAAATCAGCCCCAAAATGCAAATCTGTAGGTAACAGCCACTATTTTCAAATGCCTGGGTTTGTTGAACAGCTTCTAAACTTTTTACCTTCTATCTTCAAGGCAAAGCAGTTCTATAAGGCATGGCGGGTATTGTAAAATAAGGATCTCTTGTTTTCTGCTTTATAATACTTTTCACCCAAGTGCTTTGACAGCTGTGAGATTTGAGCATCATTTGATCTGGGAGTTCTCACTGGTGAGTGTGGTTTGCTGCAAAAGCAACGTCATCTACTTGTGCATCCATAGACGGTGGCACCGAGCCTGTTCGCTTCCGTGGATACTTGTTCGGGGATAACCTAATAACATGCGCCAGCGTTCACGACTGCAACGCCATACTGAAAAAGAAGGGGACTGGGAAGTACTAATTCACTGGAATTTATAGCATTTCACATGGCGAGTGTTGTAGGGAGTTAGCGTGCTCTGTAAATTCATATTTTTACCAATTTTTATTCAATGTCTTTGGTAACTGGCAGGTTGACATCATTTTAGCACTCCTTAAGTTTCCTGCAGGGTAGGAATGTGGTTTGGGATGAGGATAATTGAATATTTGTGGGGCGAGAGGCAGCAGCATGCCTGCACGGCCTGCAGAAAACAGGCATCCACCCCAGCAGTGCAGGGCAGCTGGTTCGTACGAATAGATCCTGATCCAAAACAGTAGGTTCTTGAAAAAAATACAGGCAAACAAATGGATACAAACCCACTTTTTAAGAAAAATAAATCCTTTTGGTCGCTGGTATCAGCCATGCAATTAAGCCTGTTATTAATTTATCCCCAGTCTGAATTACCGTGTGTCACTTCTTACACTGTAACGCTTAAGCTGTATCCTCGGTATTTGTCCCCATCAGGTGCACAGAGATTTGTATTTAGCAGGGTAACGTTTTAGTTGCATTCATGTCCAGTTGGATTTGTTTCTTCTGGGGCATTGCATCCTGTCCTCTATTTTCTTTACACTGTGGATGGCTTACGCGAAGAAGTCTGCTTGGTGCTTGATTTCGGCGTCGCTGGTTTGGTTTTGTGTCTCTGGACATGAGTAGTTTGCAGCCCAGGCACTCTCAGGTTTCCTGGGTCTCAAGGAGAGCTTGGAACTCTGCAAATCTGAGCCCTAAAAATAGGAATGCTTTTGCGTTTGCAAATTCAAATAAATCTTGATAAGATCAGAATTTGTAACAGATGTTCAAATTCCTAGGGGGGGGGTTGCTTTTGGTTTTGGTTTTTATAAAAGGATAATCTTTTCTAGCCTACGTACAAACTGCAGTTTTAAATATAGGAGCAAACATATTTGTATTAAAAAAAAAAGAAACCATTTGTAAATAGATAATTTTATATAGAACAAATACCTTTTGATTAGTCTAACTTCTTACCGGTGGAATAGGAAGGCAAGAGAAAAAATGCTTCTGATCAGTTGATCTTATCAGGATTTCTCTGTCTTTATAGCTTGCATGTTTTTTGCCACACTTTGCTCTACTGACGACCGGTATGTGTACGCCATAGGCTTCATTTAAGCTTTTCCCTTCCTTTATGCTTTTACCATAAAAGGTACTTCCAAAATGCACTTTTTTTTTTTTTTTTTTTCTGTACACGACAGGAAGCTGGGAAGTTGTTTTGACTGGATACAAATGTTTGTCTCTTAAATAGATCTGCATTTGTGTATCTGCTTAATCTGCTTTGTTTTATCTGATTCTTCCTCTCGGGCGAAGTAGTGCCCCAGCTGGTGTGTAAGAAATCTTGCTCCTAAGGCATTTTCCATTAAACCCCAGAAGATGTACTATGTCTTCTCAAGATCCCATGATTAATTTGCAAGATTTAGCATATATAATTAAGTTCAGTATATTGGCAGAATAGAAATTGAAGTTTGAAAGCAAGATTAAGACATGGGCATTCAAAGCTGATAACCTCTGTTCTGTTTTGTGAAATCCTGCGGTGTAGTTACCTTGCGTTAGGCGAAAGGAGGGTGGGATCTGGATAGACCTTTGGAGAGGCACGTAGGGAAGTGGTTTTCAATCAGAAATAACAGCGCCCTACGTGTGCGGTCAGACCTGGTCATCGCCATGCTGATCGCTCTCCCTTCGCTCCTGTTACATGCATTTTCCTACACAGTGTCCCAAGAACTTAAAAGATGCCCAAGAGGCTGGAAATCCTAACGGATAGAAATCTTACAGGTAATCTATCTGCAACATAAAGAAGCTGGGAACTGAAAGACACCTGGGAGGAATGGTAGAAGAGTAATTTCTTGAAATGATACTAAAATAAGCATCTACTTGTTCCTGCATAAAGCAGTTACTATTCTTAACATACTATTGATCGGTGCTGTTAGATGAGGTCAGTCAGGGCGAAAGCCTCTGGTGTACAGAAAATGCATTGTACCAGATAACCCACAGGCTCACATTTAAAGCACAAATTACAATTTTTTGGTTGCCCAGAGAATCTTCTTAATAGAAAGCGAGGCCACAGTTTCTTTTCATCTTAATACTACCACCAAAATCAGAATAAGCCTTGACAAAATGGGCTTTTATGAAAATTTAATCGTTGTTTTTGGATGAACAGATACGTGGCTATTTTTATACAAAAGTACCAGAAATCAACTGGGAGGTTAATTATTGAGAAGAAATAGGAATGGCATTGATTAAGCAGCATCCCTCTGGGTTTTATCCCTCCCTGTTCCCTGCTGTTGCATGATGTGACAACGTCAATACGTGTAAAATTGTAGGTGCCCGTAACTGCTTATTCTGCCCTTCCTTGAAGGCAACTTTCCATGTCAATAATAAAACCCACAATTTCCAGCACAGGGCAGGACTGTAGCCATCGTTCACCGCTGGTGACTGGAATGCTGCTTCTCTGTGCATACAAAATGTTCACCGCTTGGGCATTCGGGCAAACAGCTGATTTTTGCTAAAGCTTTCTGTCTTGTTCATGTTTTAACTCTTCTCTTCTCTTCTTGTCACTCTTGCTTCCCTCCTGGCTAGAGGGCTCCCAGAGATGTGAGAAGACCTAGTTGAGACCTTGCTAACGAACTGAACGGAGAGCAGAATAGCACCAGCCTTAGTTAAACCTTCTGGCTTGGCACACTCTTCCCAAGTATCTCAGGTGCTCTAGACATGCTTGCTTGCTTCTCGGAGGGCTGAGCTGCTTCATTACCTGTCTTCTCTCCCGTGCACAATCACAAACGCCAGTTTTATGTTGTACCTTCAGGAGGTTTAGCTACTGCAAAGGCTTCCGTGCGCCAGCTGCTTCGGGGATGAACTACGTTACAGATATTTCGGTATTCCCAAATAAATGGTCAGATGCAGTTTGTTGAGCAGTCAACTGAACCGTATGCTCGGTGGCGATGGGGTCAGCACACATCAACGCAAACATCTGGCTTCCCAGTTTAAAGCTGCATTTCTGTATTCCTCAGCTGAAAAGTTTTGTGCTAAGTTGTGCGAGTCGATGGAACTGGTTTGTCTAGAAGAAACAACACACATTCTTTCAGATGGCCAGACTGCGCCATCAGTTCAGGAGCCTCTTGGTAACTGAAGCAGTTGATTTCAATACTAACTTGTAGGTATTCTTACAGTAATTTTACCAATGCCATAATGACAAGTCTGTGGTAGTTAACCCGGAGACAGCAACAGCAAAGAGGGTGCTTGAAGGTGTGAGCATTCCCAGGGGCAAGGAAAAGAGCGAGGCACAGGCTCTGCAGATTATTGTACACACTAATTCTGGGCTTATTCTCTTCGCCTCCACATGCCAAGAAAAACACAGCGTTAAATATTTCAAAGAGTTCAAAGCAGAATCGGGGTATGGGTTTGGTGTAGTCGGTGGGGTTTGCTGCACACGTGAATTTTGGATGTGCACAAGTCCCCCCTTGCTACACTGCAATTATTCCCATTTCCAAACTGGCCAAAAAGTGCTTCCTTCAGTTGTGGAGAGTTGTTTTAATATTCATTCCTTAAACTTTAGGAGAGTGGGTCATTAATGCACCAGGAAGGCCGCGTCAGTAAACGCACTGGATACATTGCATAGCACAAAGGTTTTCACGCTTTCAAGTCTCCAAAGCTACTGCTGCTGCATGTGTTACTGGAGATGTGATATAGGATAAGAAACCGATGTTCTGCCTTTATGCTTCATGACCTCCTGTTCTCCCTAACGCTCTCTTTCTCTCTCTCTCTGGCCTTTTTTTGTGTATTCGTTTCTTTTTAGAAAATGAGTGACTTTCTCTCCCGAGAGGATGTGGCTGCAGTGCCAGAGAGGAGCAGTGTTAACACTGGCTTTGCATGGGAGGGCTCAAAGCAGTCGGTAGCTTTTAGTGAGACCCCAGTGCCACCCAGCTCAGAGCCTTCTCCCAGCCATCACTTTGCTGCTTCCTCCCTAAGCAGCGAGGAGGAGGAGGAGGAGGAGGAAGCAGCTCCCAGCCTCCCCGCGAGCGAGGAGGAGCCGGGATGGGGAAAAAAAAAACCCGGCCCCCCGGGAGGGAAGGAGGAGCCGAGATGTGGAAAGGGGGTTTGTGCGGATGTGGAGAAGGACTCGGAGCTCTCTGAGCTGGAGCCCCCCACCAGCCCTGCCGCACCGCCCCAGCAGCCCTGGGGAGGAGAGGAGGAGGTGGCAGAGGATGGAGAAGACAGATTTGCCTTTAGAAAGCTAAATGGCGAGTGTCACGACTCAGATGTTAATAACGGGCTGCCGGCAGTCATTCGCTGCTTCCAGGTAGTGAGCCCCAGCCCCTGCTCTCCCACACCCCCCCCCGGCTGGCTTTGGAGTGGGAACCCAAACACTGCAGCAAGCAGATGCCACGGATCCGGAGAGGAGTTGTGTTTGCGTGGCTTGGACTCGTGCTTGGAGCTAATTAGCCGGTTCATCTCCTGCAGTCGCTGCACACAAGCCCCTCTCAATTTATCTTTGCATTAAAGACAAGCCCCTTGCAATTTATTTTTGCATTAAATACAGTTGCCGCAGCGCAATGCCCTTTGCCTTTTTTTGATCAAAGCATCCTGTTGCATCCCCCAAAAGGGACAATATTAGGCTCCAAAGGCATGTAATTTTAGTTCCTTAAGGTTTTTGCCATTGCCTGCTGTACCGGAGGCTGAGCCTTAGCACAGCAGAGCGATTTGAAGCGCTGTCAAACCTGCTTTTACATTGTGAATGTGGGCTTTGATGTCCCTATCTGCTCCCCACCGTGGGAGATGTTTTTGCCTGCTTCAGTGTTGATATTGCTTACGGTTAAATAGATGCCCCACTTCCCCTGCTAACAATCACGGTGGCGTCTATCAGGTTTGGGGACGGTGAGCAGAAATCGAGCCCTCTGGGAAACCACTGTGGGTCTGAACTAACTCTGTCTTCTGGATAATTATCAGGTGGTGGAACAACTGATTTCTCTTCCCCCCCCCATTTCTCTTTTGAGATGCTGTGTTTCTGTTTTTGTCTGACATTGATTTAATAAAAGTTAAAGACCTCGGATCTGATGAGGGGTTTTTAATAATACAGTGTTCCACTTGCAGTCAGGATAAAGCTTCTCAGCTGTGATCGAGTTTTTATTTGCCCGGGGTTTGTGTTAATCTTGACATTGTCATCAGTAGATCGGGGTCATCTCTTACTGGCAGCTGGCAATGAGCTTCTAGTAATTAGAAAGTTAATAATCAGTGGAGACAGTTTCTTTGTGGTATTGTGCCACACCGGTTAAACCCTTCACGCCTCGGTTGGGCTGACCCAAGGGCACAGGGTTGGGGAAGGTCTGGAGGATTTTTCTGTCCGTTTAATCCTCACGCATGATCTCTGCCCTACGAGCAGGGTGTCGTACCAGAGGCTTAAAAGCAAAGATTTCCAGGCTGACCTTGGTTCCCACAGTGCTTTTATCAGATCAGTGTCAGAACATTTGCCAGCAACACCGTCACGATATGGAAATGCTGAGTATTTACAGAGATGTTCTTAACCCTGTCTCGTAGCCACCGCTAGTGAAGACACAGACAGTCACCATCTCCGACGTGTCCAGTGCCGTCAAAAGCGAAATTCCCACAAAAGAAGTCCCTATTGTCCACACGGAGACGAAGACCATCACCTATGAAGCTGCACAGGTAAGGTGTGTTCTGATTAATTTTCCAGGGGCTTAAGTAAACTCAAGTAAGCATTTTGTTTCTGAATCCTCTGAATGAGACAGCAGCACCTGCCTTTCTCCAAGCACATGAGTTGCAGCCCAGATGTTAACGATGCCGTGGACACTATTTCCAGGTGCATCTGGCATTTTTAGAGGAGCAGGTTTTTTACTATCCCTCAGGAGTAATTAATTATTTTTTCAAGATGTGTGTGCAAACAG